TCCTGGACTAAGATTCTGAAAGCCTCAGCTTTCTGAGGGTCTAACACTAGAAAGGGAGACAAACCAGGAAGAGGAGTTTGTGGCCCTCCCACTAACATATGACTGGTGCCCATGGACTTGTCACAAGCCACACCCCAGCTCACTTGCCTGCTTTTCCTCCATTTAATCTTCTGTGCAGTTACAGGGTTTAAAAGGTGTGTTCTTTTTTCCAGTAAGCGTGCTGGCAGCCGTCCCAATTTACTCTCAGATTCCCTCCATCTCCTCTCCCTTGGCCAACTCTGAGCGTCCTCTACATTTGAGGGTCCTGCTCCGTTCTACCAAACAAAGGCAGGATGGGAGTGACCTGGGTAAGTAGGCAAGATCAAGAGCCGTCTTCATGCCTGGGAATGACAGTACCTCAGGCTCTCCAGGCTCTTGTTAATCTACCACATCTGTAGTCTGCCAAACTGGACTCCTTTCATCCACAGAGAGTGAATGGCATGCCAGGAAAATTCACCAAAACAAAATGCCTAGATGGACAGTATTTGTCCAAAGCTATAACCCTGCAGCCCCGGACACAAACAGTGGGTAGACCTCATTTTCCTGTCCGCCCTGTAGTTATTTGCAACATACCTAACAACTTCTACTATAATATAAAATGTGATTCGATTATTTCCTCTCTCAGCCCTCCTGCGGCCTGATACAGCAACGATAAGCTCTACGCTCTCAGCACTACTTTACCACTTTGAAGGCACTTGGACCCCTCACCATAATAAGTGTTACTACTTTAAGTGCTCACAGGTGTCTCCGGTGAAATCTGTGATAATGTTAACAAGTGAGATTTGATAAAAATTATATAAGTGCATGAATGCTGAGAGACTGACCAACATAGTCAACAATATTCTTTATTTTATTTTATTTTATTTTTTTTGATGGTTCAAGACAGGGTTTCTCTGTGTAGCTCTGTAGACCAGGCTGGCCTCGAACTCACAGAGATCTGCCTGCCTCTGTCTCCAGAGTGCCAGGATCAAAGGCGTGAGCCACCATCGCCCGGCTCAATATTCTCCTTTTTAAAACTAAGATGTAATAACACAACAGCCACTCAATGAACAAGACTGTCCCATGAATGTAGATGCAGCAAACTACCAAGGATTCCACGGTACTTTAGATCGCTGAATGTAGATAGCGCCTGTGTCAACCTAGCGACCTGACAAAGGTAAAGATGAACATTTAAATTAGTGTGACAACCCATGCTTTCAGTCTCAGCACTCAGGGGGCAGAGGCATAGGATGCCTGTGAGTTCCTGATGAGACCCCCAACCCCAAACAAAAGTAAAACTATCTGAAGATGTTAATAAAAATCTCCCCGCCTCTGGTTGGAGAAATGCCTACACTCTCCACCAGAGAGTGTAGACCACCAGACTTGGAGTACCAGAAGTCTCTCTGCTCACTAACTCCTGTGAACCCTCCTCCACGGTTTCTAACACCCTCTTCTGGCCTCCACTGACAACTGCAGCCCAACGTCCACCAACACATCGACACATGAACATATCCATAAACAAACAAAAAAATTAAAAAACAAATCTAAAACTATTCTTCCTGTATACTTCTGTAAAGCTGCATTTCCTACACTGAACAAAAAACTAAAAGGTTAAAAAGGAGAATCCAAAGGACCACAAGTAAAAAACATGAAGATAAGGACAGGCAGACATGTAAACATCTGTTTTCACCACATCATTGTATTTTGGGAAACTGTCCTGCCTTCCTGTAAACATTCTGTTTACATTCACTCTATTGTTAATGTATTCACTGAAGCACAGGTTTCAAAATCCTCGGGTCCTAACTCGGTGAGCAGAGATTGACATAATCCTCGAAAGCGTGTATACCTTTGAGGGCCAATCAACTTCCAAGACTCCACAAACACCTTGACGTGTCAGTTTTTGAGAACTGATGACTCAGTGGCCTCTAGGTGGGACTCAGAAGGATGTTGTGACCAGGATGAGGGCAACAAAGATCAGGGTGAGGAACTTTTCAGGCGCTGCTCCCAGGATACCTGGTCCCAGACCTGGAACTGAGCCAGGAAAGCAGTGCCCCAGAGACTCCTCTGCCAGGAGCTGATCTTTCCATGACCCAATCTCAAGGCGTCATGACCACTGGGAATTCTTAGAGAAGCCAATCAGCCTTCTTCTCCATAACAGGAACATTATACTATCAACACAGACTAGCAGAGACTCAGTGTCCCGTCTTCAAGTAGGATGAATACCTTGCTGTTCCCGAGGCTCTCCTGCTGCTCCTCCTGGCCTACCTGGCCCTGACCAGGCACTTAGATGGTGAGTGTGGGAGTCAGGAGGGAAAGGACCTAACCTGGGAGACAAAAGGACTCCACCCTTGGGGCTGTAGCTCAGGAACGTCTCTCTCATCACTAGTCCAATCCCATCTCCATTTTGCGTCCTGACCCCTGGCCCCTACCCTGCTTTCCCCAGACCTGGGTGCAGAGCAGTGTAAGGTCCTAGGTGTGTGTGTGTGGGGTAGAGATGGAAAGGCCTACTACACCTAGGTTCACACTCGCTGCTCTATGTGCAAACTCTCCTCACGTGGCCTGGCCTCACGGAGCCCCCAGTTCATCATTGTTGCCTGTGTGGATGACACTCAGTTTGAGAGATTCAACAGCAGAGCAGAGCCTCCAAGGATGGAGCACCGTTCACCATGGATTAATCAGCAGAAGCCAGAATACTGGGAGTGGAGGACACATCAGGCCCTGGCAGAAGGACATAGGTTCATAAGAATGTTGACAAATCTGCTCCACATCTACAACTATAGTGAAACTGGTGAGTTAGCCCAAATCTGAAATCCCCAGTCGCATGCTCCCAATGGGGCGGCCCCAGTGTGTCAGGTTTGAGATTTACCCTGGTGAAATGTGACCCATGGAGACTAGGCTGAAGAGAGTCCTGGGATACTGACCTGGTTTTCTGTCCAGTTTAAGTCCAATTCTAGCCATTAGAAAGGCCACAAGGGAGGGGGCAAGCCACTGGAGGGCCCCACCAAGGGACTTGGCCTGTGGCTGAGAGTGAGGGCTTGGCCAGGATATCACACTATCCAGAATCTGTATGGCTGTGATTTGATGTCTGGAGAGTCCCGTCACCCACAATATGAATTAATCTTCAACCACCATGATTACATCGCCATTAAACGAGGACCTCAGCACTTGGAACACGGTGGGCAAGGCAGCTGAGATGCTCAGACTGGAGTGGGAGGAGTCAGGTTTTGAACAATTAGTGAAGACTTACTTGGAGAAGGAATGTGTGAAGTTGCTCCGCACACAGCTTGACTATGGCAAGAAGATTTTGCTGAGAACAGGTGAGAACAAACATTGCCCCATCTGCTCTGAAACTGGAGCCCCTGTCCCCTGAGGATTTCTCCTCAGCAGGGAGCTCATTAGGTCTTGCATCAACAGGGGAAAGAGTGTCATGGGTTTCCTGACTCAACAAGAGAGAGGGACTCTCCAGAGGGCTGAGCCTTCTCTCAGGGCAGTACAGTCTGCCAGTTAAGCAGCAGTTCCCTTCATATCTGCATTGTGAACCATGATCTCTCTCAGGCCTTTTCACTGCCCACACACTTTGGAGGTCTGACCCAGTGTTCCTGAGTCTCAGTCCCCATCCAGTGAGAACCAGAAGTTCATATTCCTAGAGGGAGATCCAGAGTCTCCTGCTCTGTGCTGGCTTATGCTGGTCCTGAAACTTTCCAAAAGACAGATTACCCGATCCATATCCCAAAATTAGACTGATAGGTGGGGTCTGCCTCTCCTCTTCAAGCCAACTCTGCCTTCCATTCAAAACAAGGTCACAGGAGCACTGATGGGTCCCAGGAAGAATGCAAAATGACTAAAATCTCCAATTTATTCACTTCAGATAAACCACAAATACATGTGACTCACAAGATCAGAGCTAATGGGAAAATTACCCTGAGGTGCTTGGCCCTGAACTTCTACCCTGCTGAGATCACCCTGACCTGGCAGAGGGAGGGGAACAATCAGACACAGGGCACAGAGGTGATGGACACCAGGCCTGCAGGGGATGGGAACTTCCAGAAGTGGGCAGCTGTGGTGGTGCTTCCTGGGGAGGAGCAGAGATACACATGCCATGTGCAGCATGAGGGGCTGCCTGAGCCCCTCACCCTGAGATGGGGTAAGAAGGGAGGGGTGCAGAGACCATCACAGTGAGAGTGGGAGTCCTTGGGAGAACTGGAGCGGGGTCATGACTGACAGGTGGAGGTCAGAGGCTTCAATGTTCCTTCCATTCTTCCCTCAGAGCCTCGTCAGCCCTCTGTCCCCATCATGCCAATTGTTACTGGCCTGGTTCTTGGAGCTGTGCTAATGGGAGCTGTGGTGACTTTTCTGATATGGAAGAGGAGGAATAAAGGTAAGAAAGGGGCAGGATCTGAGTTCGTGTCTGTGGGAATATGAAGCCCAGCTGAGTGGTGCCCTGCCTCATGAGAGCAAAGTTTCATCCACACAGTGGCTTATTTCTGTCTTGTGCTGATGAGCTGACATTAACTCCATTGTGAAGGAAGCATGAAGGAAATAATGAAAAGATTCATCACTGCAATGATAGAGGTGGTAGAGACCTGATCCTCAGCTCCCAGAGGTCAGATGGAAAGGTTCCCACTGAGAACAGATAACCAGGAGTCCAGTTAGTCCTCTTCATGTGCAATCTTCCATCATGTTTCCTCATCCTTCTCTGGATCTGCAGTCACAGTTCTTGAAATTTCCCTGAGATAAGGACCAGGAGATTCCTCTAGGTCTTCTAGATGCTGGTGCTTCCATGAACTCTACTGAAAGGAATTGTTCATATTCAAGCTATGTTCATGCTTCCCAGTGGTTTCACTAGGGACTCATCCCTGAGACTCCTGTGGCAGTACACACAGGAGCCCATGGATGTTCTCAGCCGGCTCACACCTCCTCACTCCGTTCCAGTATCAGTGCGTTTGATCTGCTCCTGTATCACTGTGCACCGGGATGTCCAGCGACACCCTAAAGGGCCTGGTGTGAGTCTGGGCGAAGGCAGAGGATAGAAGCCTGGGGCACAGGGACTCTAGGGATTGGGGGAGTGTGTGATGGGCTGTCCAGAATGTCACCATTTAAGACACTGATCTGAATTTCTTCCTTGTTCTTTTCTTCTACAGGATAAGGAAGCTGGACTGAGCCTAAGAGGATTTGTTGTGGTTTCTCCTCCCACTGTGACCTCAAGATCTTGTGCCTTCTCTTTGTATATGTGACATGATGGTGGCTATGTGACCAGATGATGAGTTCAGCCAAGCCTTGAGCAACAACAAGCCCATCCTCACCCTGACCTTTGTGTCTTTCCCTGTCATCACTGGACTTCCAACAGGGGCAGGGCTGGGAAACCCCAATTGCTGAATATGCTTTAGTTTTCAACCAGTTACAAATACATGCCTCTGTCTTTTATTATTATTATTATTATTATTATTATTATTATTATTATTCAATACAAGCTTTCCCTGTGTAGTCCTGGCTGTTCTGGAACTTGCTCTGTAGACTAGGCTGGCCTTGAACTCTCAGAGATGTGCCTGCCTCTGACTCTGGAGTAATCGGATGAAAGGTGGAAAGGTGTGAGCCACCACTGCCAGTTGCTTCTGTCTTTTTTTTTTTTTTTTTTTTTTTTTTGAAACAGGGTTTTTTTGGCGCCTCTCCTGGCATTTGCTCTGGAGACCAGGCTGGCCTCGAACTCACAGAGATCCCCCTGCCTCTGCCTCTGCCTCCTGAGTGCTGAGATTAAAGGCGTGCGCCCCCAACGCCTGGCTGCTTCTGTCTTTATTAGCACTTTTTATGGTTGTGCAACTTCTTGCCATAGTGGTTGATTGATTAGGGTCCTAAGGATGACTCAAAGGTTATGGAGAAAATAAAGGCGCAGACTCTTATGGAAATCATGTGTGCTGTGCTAACTCCGTTGCCTTAGTAACACTTGGAAGCTGTGTGCAGTCAAAAGTGGCCTGGGCTGTGCACAGGTGTTGCTCAGGCACCCTGGGCTCTCACATAATCTCTTCCCCTCTCACTTGGGTCATCTTTCCCGATGCCCCCAAATGATTCCTCCTGTTAAACTCCCTTTATGAACTCAGGACAGTTTCCTTGTTCTGGTCTGTAAAATTTCCTACTTTACTTTGCTGATATTTTCACATATGTATGGTCATCTCCCACCACTCCAGACAGCTGTTCCTGACAAAGGCCAGTGTGTTTCCTGTAGATTCTAGTAAGTGTGGCTGTCTGTCCTTTTGTCCTCCATCCTGAGGAGATGGGCATCCCAGACTCCTCTGTTTTTGTTTCCCGTATCTACAGAGAATGAGGCTTTTTTTTTTTTTTATCAGAACTGAGTTTGAATCTTCTCACTTTTACAGACAACTGTAGTGGGTACAGGACAATACACACACACACACACACACACACACACACACATACACACACACATAATCATAAAATATATAGAGCCTACATATTTCTGTTAAGCTGCAGTTTCTTAAATTTCAAATAAAAAAACTGGTAAAAAGATACAAACTTGACCTAGTTTTTAGTAGGAAAGATAAAAGTATTGCTGGAATGTAAAATATCCTTAAAAAATCTATTCCTTCTACCCTAATCATGCTTTGAAAAATAGCTAATCCTCTTTTAAAGTGTCCTTTTAAGCACAATTAGTTATTATCTTCAGCAAAGCAAATATCTTAAAATTCTCGGTTCATAGCATGGTAAATATGGGTTGATAAAATCCACATAAGTAAAATTACATTTAGATCCATTCACTTTCTAAGTGTGTGTAGAGACCTTGACATGAGAATGACTGGGAGTTCTGGTGCACTTTCTTTTCCACCACCAGCCCCAAATATAGAGAGGGAGACTTATTATGAATTATGAAAACAAGGCCTTAGCTTTAGGCCTGGCCCACTAGCTCTTATAACTTAAATTAACCCATTTATATTAGTGTACAATTTGCCTCATGGCTTTTTACCTTTCTTTTATTTTGTATGTCCAACTCCCTCTGTGTCTCATGGCATCTCTCTCCCTCTTTCTCTCATACCTAGAATCATTCTGAATTGCTCTCTTTTCCCCCTGAAAGTCCCAACTATCTTTCCAGCCAAGCTACTGGCCAGTCAGCCTCAGAATTATCACTTCCTAACTTGGTGAGTGCCTTGGAGGGACAATCCCTTTCTGAACCTGCATAGATGCATCCTGACATCACAATGTTTGAGAACTGCTGACTCTATGGTCCTTCGGTTTGACTCACAAGGATACTGTGACCAGGACCAGGAGAACATGAATCAAGGTGAGCAATTCACTGCTCCTAGGATACCAGGTCCCAGAGCTGGATCTGAGCCAGGAGAGCCCTAGAGATTTCTCTAACAGGAGTTCATATTTCCCTGACCCAATCCCAATGCTATCATTACCACTGGGAATTCTTAGAGAAGCCAATCAGCCTCTTGCCTATTAAGATCACCAGATGAGCACAGATTTGCAGCAATTCAGTCTCTGCTCTTTAAGTAGGATGAAGACCCTTGCAACCTGGGCTCTCTTCTTGCAGCTCCTGGTCACCCTGGCCCTGACCGAGCATCCAAATGGTGAGTGTGGAAATCTGAGGGGAAAGGACCTAACCTGGGAAAGCAGATGATCTCTACCCATAATGGTGCAGACCAGAGAACTCTGTCTCCTCCCTAGCCCAGCCAGAAACTTCTGTTCCCTTCTCTATCGTGTCCCCTGGGCCTGGGTCCGTGGACTGGCATGGACTATGTGGAGGACAGAGGTCTAAAGACCCAATGCTCCTAGGTACATACCAGCTGTGCCATTTCCAAACCCTCCTGACCTGGCCTGGCCTGGAGGAGTCCCAGTTCATCTCTGTCAGCTATGTGAACGACACACAATTCATGGGATTTGACAGCAGGGCAGAGAGTCAGAGGATGCAACATCGGGCACCGTGGCTGGATCAGCAGAAGCCAAAGTATTGGGAGGAGGAAACACAGAGCATCTTGAGAGAAGAGAAATTCTTCAAAGAAGTAATGAAGAAAGTGCTCCACGTCTACAACCAGAGCATGTCTGGTGAGTAAACCCAAATCAGAAATCCCCACCTTCAAGCTCCCCGAAGGCTTCTCCGAGGGGGCCATGCACAAGATTTACATAAGGAAAATGTAACCCATGGACACCAGGCTCCAGAGATCCACAGGAAAATGACATGGGTTTCTGAGCAGTTTAAGTCCAAATCTGGCTAGTTGGAAAGGCCATGTGGGAGGGACCGACCCACTGCAAGCCCCCCCACCCCCCACCAGGAACCTGGCCCTGTGGGAGTGGCTGAGAGAGAGTGCTTGGCCAGGGTATCACACAGTCCAGAGGACGTATGGCTGCGTGGTGCTGCCTGGAGGGTACTTCAGTCGAGGATTCCATGAATTAACCTTCAGTGGCCAGGATTACATCGCACTGAATGAGAACCTGCGCACCTGGACTTCGGCTGGCAAGGCCGCTAAACAGCTCAGGCAACAGTGGGAAAAGACACGTTTTGCATAAATGGTCAAGACTTACCTGATGGATGAATGCATTGAAATGCTCCTCGAACAGCTGGACTATGGGAAGCAGATTTTGCTGAAAACAGGTAGTGACAGATACTTCCCCATCTGCTCTGAAACTGGAGCCCCTGTCCCCTGAGGATTTCTCCTCAGCAGGGAGCAGCTGGAACACTCGGTCTTGCATCAACAGGGGAAAGAGTGTCATGGGCTTCCTGATTCAATTAGAGAGAGGGACTCTCCAGAGGGCTAAGCCTTCTCTCAGGGCAGTAAAGTCTGTCAGTTAAGCATTGTGAAACATGGCCTCTCTCAAGCCTGTTCATTGTCCATGCACAATAACTTCTGAGGTCTGTCCCCAGTGTTTCTGAGTCTTTCATGTCCACTGACTCAGAACCAGAAGCCCATATTCCTAGAATGAGATCAGGAGTCTCCTGCTCTGTGCTGGCTTATGCTGGTTATGAAACTTTGCAAAGAATAGATTACCCGATCCATATCCTGAATTTAGGCTGATGGGTGGGGTGGGGTCTGCATCTCCCCTTCAAGCCAACTCTGCCTTCCATTCAAAACAAGGTCACAGGAGCACTGATGGGTCCCAGGAAGAATGCAAAATGACTGGATTCTTCAATTTGTTTCCCCCAGAAAAACCACAAATACATGTAACTCACAAGATCAGAGCTGATGGGAAAATCACCCTGAGGTGCTTGGCCCTGAACTTCTACCCTGCTGAGATCACCCTGACCTGGCAGAGGGAGGGGAACAATCAGACACAGGACATGGAGGTGATGGACACCAGGCCTGCAGGGGATGGAACCTTCCAGAAGTGGGCAGCTGTGGTGGTGCCTCCTGGGGAGGAACAGAGATACACATGCCATGTGCACCATGAGGGGCTGCCTGAGCCCCTCACCCTGAGATGGGGTAAGGACTGGGAGTGAGCACAGAGACCATCACAGTGAGAGTGGGGGTCCATGGAAGAACTGGAGCAGGGTCATGACTGACAGGTGGAGGTCAGAGGCCTCACTGTTCCTTCCATTCTTCCCTCAGAGCCTCGTCAGCCCTCTGTCCCCATCATGCCAATTGTTGCTGGCCTGGTTTTTGGAGCTGTGCTAATGGGAGCTGTGGTGACTTTTCTGATATGGAAGAGGAGGACTAAAGGTAAGAAAAAATCAGGATTTGAGTTCGTGTCTCCGTGGGAATATGCAGCCCAGCTGAGAGTGTGCCCTGCCTCATGAGAGCAAAGTTTCATGCACACAGTGGCTTATTCTCTCCTGTGCTGATGAGCTGACATTAACCCCATTGTGAAGCATAAAGGAAATAATGAGCAGATTCATCACTGCAATGATAGAGGTGGCAGAGACCTGATCCTCAGCTCTCACAGGTCAGATGGAAAGTTTCCTACTGAGAAAAGATAACCAGGAGTCCAGTTAGTCCTCTTCATGTGCAATCTTCCATCATGTTTCCTCATTCTTCTCTGGATCT